CCCCCAGAGCCCCCCGGCCCCCCAGCCCTGCTGGAGGAAGCCCCCAGCTGCCAGGGCTACGGGGCCAGGGATCTGGGTCTACAGCCCCCTTCCCCTGGCAGTAGGCAGTGCCTGCTGCAGTGGAGCAGAGCCTGACTCCCCACCTGCTGCTGTCTGCTGCAGGCTTGGGCACAGGGTGGGGCCAGCTCCTTGGTGTGACATGCACTTCCAGAAGGGCGGGGGGGACCTGCACCCCCCCCCAGATCTGTGTGTGGAGTGGGGGTGGAGACGGGCGTGGGCAGCAAGGGCAGTGGGACAGAGCTGCACCCCTCAAAGCTACTATGCATGCATCAGAAGGGAGCTCCAGCCTGGCTCCCGCCCCATGGGCAAGCCACCCACAGCTCTATCCCACTCCCTGCTGGGCCCCAGCCCTGCCCAACTCCCTCCTCCTTATGGGGGCCTCAATTTCGAAGGAGTTCATCCAGTCCCAAAACAAGGGTAGTTCATCCAATCCCCACCCCCAACAAGACTTACCTGCAGCAGCTGCTCTCCAGGCTGCCTGGGGCCAGGGCCATGTACATGTACATGGCACCCCTTGCCTGACCACCCTCCACCCTGCTGGAACTCTGCCAGCCTGCAGAGGGCTCCTCACAAAACTGCAAAATCCCCAGGCTTCTTCGGTAAAATGATTCCAAAAACTGAAAATTGTGATTCTAATATGAACTATTTTTACATGTAATATACAAATGGTTTTGGTTTTCCCATATTGATTCAAATAAGCCGCTGATTCTATTAACCAGCAATTCTGTAAAGCAGAATCCATTGCAATGGAAATACGGGTAGAAAACAATGAGGGCATAATCTAAAGTAAGTTTATTCTACTACCAATTATTGGATAACTCAAGCCAAATGGTATTTTGGATACTTACCTGCCTTACAGAAGCTGTTTCACTCACCATATACTGATAGAAGTACTTGGCATTTAAAATACCTCAGTAGTTAATGCCAGGACTGTCCCTGCAAACAATCTGCCAGCTTAAAACCAACATAGAAGCTGTAATGTTCTGGTTTATGGGAATGATTGCTGTCTCACTTGATCCTGAATTATGTTTTAATCTTCACAAAAGAACGAATGAAATTTCACAATATCAGTGCTGCGCTCGTTATGGACAGTTCCTCAGTGCCTTCATCATTTAATAGATATTTGGGCTGGAAGGGACCTTGCAAGATCACTGGGTCCAGCCCCCTGCCCAAAGGGCAGGCAGGCAGCAGGGGTCAAATGATCCCAGCAAGATAGGCATCCAAGTATTTCTTAAAGGAATCCAGAGTAGGTGCCTGCACCCCCTTGGGGGGGGGGGAGGGGAAAGGGGAGTTTATTCCAGGCCCTGGGGATTTGGACAGTAAAGAAGATTTTCCTTATGACCAGCTTAAAACAGCCCTCCAAGAGTTTGTGACAGTTGGACGTAGTCTTCCCATGGGGTGCTCTGGTAAACAGCTGTTCTCCCAGCTCCCAGTGCACACTCCTTATATATTTATAGGCTGACACAAAATCAGCCCTGAGCCTATGCTTCTCCAGGCTCAAGAGCACCATGTCTGTTAGCCTCTCCTCATAAGGCCTGCTCCCTTGTCCTCTAATCATTCACGTGGCTCTCTTCTGGACTCTCTCGAGCTTCTCCATATCC